GATTTTATTTATTTATTTGACAGAGAGAGACACAGCGAGAGAGGGAACACAAGCAGGGGGAATGGGAGAGGGAGAAGCAGGCTTCCCGCGGAGCAAGGAGCACGATGCGGGGCTCGATCCCAGGACCCTGGGATCATGACCTGAGCCGAAGGCAGACGCTTAATGACTGAGCCACCCAGGCGCCCCAAGCCTCTGACTCTTGATTTCAGCTCAGGTCATGATCTCAGGGTCATGAGATAGCCTGCTTAAGATTCCCTCTCTCTCCCTCTCCCTCTGTCCTCCCCACCCCCACTCTCAAAAACAAAACAAAAAAACAAAAAACCACCACAACCCAAAAAACCTCCAGAGGGGAGAGGACTGGAAAGATTTAGAAGTCATGTAACAATGAAAATGCAATAAAGCCTTAAAATTTGGCATGTGCACACACATAATGTAAAATCCTATCTTGAAGGGAAAGAAGCAGATGAAGAAGTTGCCACTGATGATTTAAGAAATAGATGGGGGCGGGAGGAGGGGGCCTGGGTGGCTCAGTGTCTACCTTTGGCTCAGGTCATGATCTCTGGGTCCTGGGATGGAGCCCTGCATCAGGCTCCCTGCTCAGCAGGAAGTCTGCTTTTCCCTCTCCCCCCCGCTCATGCTTGCTTGCTCTCTCTCTCTTTCTCAAGGGAATAAATAACATCTTAAAAAAAAATAAGAGACTGGGAGCAATTTTCTACATTTTCCTTCTTTTATGTTTCAAAGCTATGAAATTCACTTTTCTTCAACTTAGCTGTTTTCACTTAAATCCTAATAGATTCATTTAGTGTCAAACATTAAGTCACAGACGCAGGTAGCTACTTGGGACAAAAACATCTGATTCACAGAAGCAGGTGAGACTCATCAAAAAGGGCATGTGGCTGAAAGAGTGTCTTTATTCTTATCTTCAGTCGATTTGTGCGTAAGACTAAACAATACTAACTACCAAAAGAAAATAACCAAGGTTGGCCTCTTCTTTTATCCTGCAAAAGGATAAAGCAAAGACTTGGAAGAGATCTTAAACTCTTGGAGAGAGCTTCTGAATTTCACAGTAATACCAGTCATGTAGCTAAATTAGATGAGTCAGACACACATACACACACATGCATGCACACACACAACACACACACGTATAAATCCTGAGAACCAAGTCTGACAGGCATGAAAATAGTAAATGTCACTTACTGAGAGTATTTAGCATATCCTATTCTAAGGCAGGATTTTATATAATCTTCATAATAACCTTATTGAAGGTTGAATCCTAATTCTTACCTATATAGCGGATGATGAAACCATGTCCTAGAAATATTAAATAATTTACATATCATGTAACCAGAAAGTGAAAGACTGAGCCCCACAAGCTAGGCCTATTTGAATCCAAGCCTGTAATCCTTTTTCCTCTATCTGAAGGCTCTGCTTTCCATTATGATCCACGAATATGTCAACTGTTAAATCTAAAGAGACTGAGTTCCCCACAAAACTCAATTTTCCAAGCATGCCGCTCAGAAAAAATTCCTCACTCTATCAACAGAGGTTAAGACATTGTTAGAGAACAAATGAAGTCAGCCTCTGTTTGAAAGGGAAGAGAAAAAGGGGATTGTGACCACGTGTGATTTACTGGGTTCCTTCATCAAGTAGGCAATATGGTAGCAAGAGAGACCACAAAGAAAAGCAAGATAGATAATACATGGTGACCCTTCTCCTAGATCAATGTACTCTTGACTTCTAAACTAATAAAATCGCATACATAAAGGCATTTGTGGGCTCAACAACTGAGACCACAGGGAGATCTTTCTTTTTTAAATACAAACTATGCATTTTTAAGCAGCAAGGTCTTTCAGAAAACTTAAGTGCTTTGAGCCAACTGCCTAGGTCAAATCATAACTTGAAATAATAAGAATTTGAAACTGAAAATTAAGTTATTCCCCTTGTGTGCCACCTATCAGTTGCTTGCCTTTTAAGCTCAAAATTTATCTTGTTTGTCTGTACAGTCAAAATGGATCTGGGCCCCTTAATATTTAAATATTTTTAAATATTTTAAATATTTTTCCATTTCAGCTGACACGATGACAGAAATAGTGCAGGAGGAGCCGGTTTTGACTCCTGGTTCCTATTTGGCTTACACATCAAGCTCCTGCACTATGGGTAGCTCTTCCAGAATCTGGCTTCTCTAGTGCTCAGCTGCCCGAGGGCACATCCTCAGTGTGAGGCTGCTACAGCAATGTGCAGCAGGCAGCAGGACTCAACGGTTAACAGCTACCCCTGATATTTTCTTAGGCAGCAAAATACCTCCTCTAAGAACCTACCTGTGAAGAGCTTTCCCTCACCACCCCAGAGGGCAGAATTCTGGCAAGTTGCAGAGAGTGGATTTCTAGTAAGTTCCACTGGAATGTCACCACAACAACTTCTCTACCACTCCGTAAGCCACATCATGCCCTATTCAACAAGGTCTGGATCTCAGCCCAAGATGGGGGAGAAGTCTCTTACCTAACACTAACTACCATTAAAGAAAAAAGGCGGGGGGGAGAGACACAAGGTTTGGTAGGCTTTTTATGAATTTTAAAAACAACATACACTACACATTCGAGTGTGCCACACTTTGACCTACCTACAAAGTCACCTTGGGGGTTTCCAACTTTGAGTGAAGAACAGAACAAAAGAAGACCCTGCAGCAAGTTTAGGTTGTGACGCAAGCTGTTCTACCATGTGGGGCCTATAATCTGGCATATTCAAGGTTATCTAAAGTATCTACGGTAAACAGAGATGCTATACAAGGAGCCTCTAGCCACTGCACACTGCAGCAGCTCTTCGATAAAGAAGACTGGCACTAGAGGATCCAGCTTTCCCCAACACTCAATAGACTACATTTCCAGCAAGTTCCAGAGAAAGGATTTCTATCATATTCCACTGATAAAATACTACACTGACTTCTATACGATTAAGTGAGCCACACCCATGCACTCTCCAGTATCAGCCTGGGAGAAGGCTCTTTCATATGTAGTCTGTCTCAGCCCCAGGAGAAGCATCTGCTCCTTATATTTGCTACTTATATATTCTTTAGAGTTCTCTTTCTTTAATAAGCCAATCCCTCATTACTCCAATCCTCAGTTATACTGAATAATCTTTTTTAAAATAATCTATTACACCCAACATGAGCTCAAACCCACAACCCCCAGATCAAGAGTCACATACTCTACCTACTGAGCCAGATGGGTGTCCCCTGAATAATCTTTTATATTAAATTTTCCCTTTTCACATAACTACATAGTTTTCCCTCTTGATTAGAATTGGACTAATACAGAATATTAATAGCTAGGGTGGTTCTGCTCAGTGCCATGAAAACCAACACAAGAACCTCCTTTTCAACAATTAAGAGTTCATTTTGACATATTAGTTTTAAAACTCAAAATTAAATAGGAATGATTTAAACCAAGTTTAAGCATAAAACTAAGTGCAAATTAATTTATGTATTTCTTAAAATATCAATCATGGTTTGGTAAGTTGTACATTCCTTCTCCAAATGTTCTACAGTCTTTAAACGAACATTAATCAGATCTGTAACTTACAATCACCAGCTTTTAGCATTACTTTGAGTAAGTAATATTTTATCTCTCTTATTATGTAAGTTCTAAATAAGAGGCCTAAAATAGGGAAGCAACAACTGAAAATAATAAGTTTTCATTATTAAAAGGAGCAGTTGTTAGGTATAAACACTGACAATATCCAACAGCATGGGTCAAAGAGCTTGACTCCACATTCCAGTAAGAGACTTCATAATTCTAGAATGCTCTTAACCTCAACGAAGCCCAAACAAGCATATAATGGTGGAATAGTACAAGCTAATCAATATCTTGGGAAATGGCTCTAAAATGAAGGGGACCCATAGTGACTTCTTACAACAGTGTTTCAATGTCCCCTGCACCTGTTAATTGGAAATACATTATGAAGTACACATTCTTTAATAATCCAACATAAGTTTAAGTCTAAGAAAGTCCAATAACCTATTTATGAAATCAAAAACCAAACCAATGAACAAAGAAGCCCACTACAATTGCTGTAAGAGGTAAAAACACCCATTTCGTTTTAAGTAGAAAATAACCACCACCACTCCACCAAAAAAGAGAAGAAGGAAGACTAGCAGATTACACACTAGAAAGCACACAAGTGCTTTGTGGGGTTTTAAAACGGACTTTATAACCATATTCTGATTTCTTAAACAATAAAAAAGGAAAACGAAGTATCACTGACAGCTCATTTTGAGTGACTACATGAATACAATTGTATAAAAGTCAGTAGCCACAATTATGAGGTGTGTCTAAAAAAATACAAAATAAATTAATTAAATAAAAACTATTCTTCAAGTAATGTTGTATGTTACTGCTCAGAAGTTTGCTTTAGAAAACCAGAAAAACTGCTTTTATATGGAAATTTCTTTAAAAATAAAGTTTTTCTTACTTGAGAGAGTCCAGGGGACGATGCATGTCCCGGGGGCGTTGCCGCAAGATTTGGATGCCCCTTATTTATTTCATGTGTTGAATAAGGGGAAGGGGTCGGGGGTCCCGGTTGCCTTGCTACTTGTGTTACCTGTGAGGAAATCAATATTTAGTAAGAGTTTTATACTAGTAACCCAATCTTAATAAATATTGCTGAACTGGTTAATTTTTAAATTTGAATTCTCTACCTCACAATTTATACTGAAGTAAGTGCCAGACCGACTAAAGACTTAAAATTTCAAAATGGAGCAATAGAATGATTAGAAACAACAACAACAAACATGACTATTATCATCAGTTAGGATAAAAGATTCTTGAAGCATAATCTAAAACCAAAAACATTAGGGGCACCTGGGTAGCTCAGTCAGTTAAACATCTGACTTTGGCTCAGGTCATGATCTCAGAGTCCTGGGATCGGACACTGCATCAGGCTCCATGCTCAGTTTGGAGTCTGTTTGTCCCTCCACCTCTCCTCCCCCCGTGCATACTCTCTCTCTCTCTCTCTCAAATAAATAAATTCTTTATAAAAAAAAATAAAATAAAACCAAAACCCTTAAAGGAAAATTATGCTAAAGGCAAGAAGGTAAACATAAAACTACATGTTGTACAATGCCACTTATATGACATTTTGTACAAGAACCAAAAAAGAAATAAATGATTGCAAGAGAAAGAGAGTAACTACAGAAGGGGCACGAGGTTGTTTTCAGAGTGCAGTAACTGTTCTGTATCTTGACTGTACTGGGGACTACATGTCTCTAGGTGTTTGTCAAAACTCACAGAACTGCACGCTAAAAAGGTGAATTTTACATTATGTAAATTATACCTCAATAAACCCGAACAAAATGGGGCAACTTATAGAGCATAATCTCATTTTATAAAACAGTACACCTAAATATACATGTATAGTCACATGTGTGTATATTTCTATACATATCTTTGCCTCCATTCTATGTCTAACATATATGAGTATATATAAAATGCACACACATATATACACATACAGGTGTAAGTGTCATATTAAAAAGATCTGTAAGGAGATACACAAAGATCTTAACAGAAAGCATTACAGGTATTTTTTTTTCTCATTTTTATTTTCTAATATAGTTTAATAATCATGAACTTGTATAGAAAAATAATTAGCATATGTCTTTAAGTAAATAAAAATTACATTTTCCCACTTATCATTGGCAATAAATTGCCCATCAGCCTATGATGGAAATGAAAACAGTTTACCCAGACCCCCTCCTAAAGCCTAGCAATCAACCCTAGCCAGCCCATCTCTAACACTATCTAACCCAGACTAGCACTGACAGTTTGGCAAACCACCATGAATGGGGGGCAATTCTGCAGTCATCAAATGTGAAAGAATCCATTCTCCTTCAGGTGAGGTTCTCAAATTTTAGGGGGGCCATGAAACCTTTACAATCTAGTAGAAACTACAGACCTCTCCTAGGATATTTTTAAATGCATAAAATACATAGGATAATGACAAAACTAATTATATTGAAATATAGATATTAAAATACTAAGATACCCATCACTGTTCTGCATGGAGCACTGGGTGTTATATGCAAACAATAAATCATGGAACACTACATCAAAAACTAATGATGTATGGTGATTAACATAACATAATAAAAAAAATACTAAGCTAAATTTGTGATATAGTAATATATGTGTTCTTCACTAATGTATGAAAAAAATAAGAACTAGGGACAGTTGTTGCCTACATTCATAATTCAAAGAAATGATAACATTCAATTAGATATTTTCTCCATCTAAGTTCTCAGATCCCCTGATTTCTCTCACAATTGAAAACTCTCCCCAGGTAGAAAGGAAAGTGGTTTCCAAATGATACTAACTTTTCCTGGAATTCAGTCAGAAGCTCTGAAGA